ACGGGAGGCTCCGCCCACTCGCCTGGGTGTCATCACGTCCATTTTTGATTCTCAGCACATTCACAGAAGGTTCTGCGCATGCGTGGAGGAGGCACAAGCATAGCAAGTGCCCGCGTGTGCTCACATTTGCAAACCGGTAGCGAAGGTAAGTGGATTTCACCCCTGGGAAAATCCGTACCTCCTTGAAAACGCAGAGGGGAAGAGAACTTATTATGGAAACACAAGCTGAAATCTCTAACATTGTTCTCAATTTCAGGGTATAACATTACACTTCAGTTATTTTTCTTAGTAAGCAGTCATAAGCAAAGAAGGTCAGTTCGAGCATTATAGATTTTGCAGGATTTATTTAACAGATCTAGGTATCAGTTCTTTACATTCCCCCAACCTTAGGAAACAACTCCTCCCTAAGGCTACCTCAGCTTCTTCAGTAACATATAACCGTAGCGTAGAGTTTTATTACGGCTGCCTTCTAGACTGTTCCCAAGATGGATCTTTCCAGATGATGGAGGAGAGGGTCAGTTGTGGGTGTATTTTCTGGTAAAACGTTCAACAGATGTCATGAAATGTTGCTAATGTCGTGGAAAGCTAATGTTTCATGTTTCTTGGGGAACTATTTTCATAAAATATTGCTGTAATAGTTCATACAGGTAGTCCCTGACTTACAACCATTCGTTTAGTGATCGTTCGAAGTTACTGTGGCCCTGAAAATCGTGACTCATAACCGTTTTTCACACTTACAACCGATGCAGAAGGGTCCCATGATCAAAATTTGGGCTCTTGGCAACTGGCATGTATTGATGACGGTTGCAATGTCCCAGGGTCATGTGATCACTTTTTGCAACCTTCTGATAAGCAGAGTCAATGGGAGAAGGCAGATTCACAGATTAACAACCGTGTTACTAACTTAACAACGGAGTTATTCACTTACCAACTGGGGCAGGAGTCTGCAACCTTAAACACTCAAAGAGCCATTTGGAACCATTTCCCACTGAAAAGAAAACACCGGGAGCCACAAAGACTCGGTGGGCGTGGCCAACTCAACATCACTCACTTTCACCAGTCACATGACACCCCCCCAGCCACGCCTACCCAGTTGGTCATTAGGGCAGAGAAACCGGTTGCTAAAAAACAATGGGAACCACAAAACCCTTTTGACATCTCTCTCTCTCCCTCTCTCCCTCCCCGCCTCCTCCCTCTCTCTCCCCCCCTCTCTCTGTATCTCTCTATTGTCTCTCTTTCCCCCCCCCCCCCACCTTTCTCTGTATCTCTCTGTCTCTGCCCCGGCCGCTTCTCCATCCCCCGCCATCGCCCTTATCTTCTCAGGCCAGGCAAGGAGTGACTGGGAGGGGAGAGCGAGGGCTTGGGCCAGCCAGTGGTGGGATCATCCAACAGGGAGCCACAGCAGAGGGCCCAAAGAGCCGCATGCAGCTGTGGAGCTGTAGGTTGCAGACACCTGAACTAGGGCAAGAAAGGTCATGAAATGATGCAAAACTCATTTAACAACCTTCTTGCTCAGCAATAGAAATTTTGGGCTCAAATGTGATTGTTAAGTCAAGGATTACCTGGATATAGTTTCTTAAATAGCAATCCTACTATTCTTTATACATGTCCATTGTGGGGAATTGAGTACATACGTCTCACCAGCCAGAGCCTGCTGGTTTGTTCTACTAGAGAAATCCTTCATGTTTCCCTAATAATTCAATAAAAGAGAAAATGCCCTAAAAGCTTTTCAAAAGACAGGGGGGCGGGGGGGGGGGAATTGAAGAAATGTTTGTGGGTGGACTGTGATGCTGTCCTAATTGTATAGTTTAAGTGCATGAATGTCTCTCCTATAGCGTGTTATATGTTGATTTTTCCAATTATCTGTCTGCTTCTTGATTTCCACTCTTAAATTAAATCCCAGAAGAAAACACTAGCAGAAAACTGCTCCTGTGGAGATTCTCCAGTCACCATTAAGTCCTACTCCTCAGAAACGTTTGGGGAATTTCTACTTCATAGGAATTCATTCATCCATCCGGTTTCTTTGTTCACAGTTAGATGGAGAATGTTAAAAGCAAGGCCTTAGTGGTTTTTTATCTGGTTTTACCCAGAAAACATCAGAAATGATGGTCTTACGTATGACTTATTGAGCCAAAGGATTGAAAATGGTCTGTTCGGTTTAACCCTTTTGTTTAATTAATGAAATCTGAGGCTACAGCATCTTCAACGGATCCTTGTTCAGCCTTTTTATGAAGGTTTCCACTCCAGAAGAAAAGGAGAGATCCCTACCCCTCTAAGTCAGAATGTCAGGGTTCCAAGTAATACATCCATAATAAACAGCCCCGAGGCATGTAGGTTCCTCAAAGAATTGGTTTATTGGACATATCATATTGGTGTAAGCTGGTGAGAACCAACTCTTAATATCCCCACGGTTTTCACCTAATTAAAAATAAAAGTTTCCCCCTTTTCCCAGTTAATCAGTCACACGGTCCAATCAAGGTCCCATTTGGTTGCCTGGCAACATCACTCCTCCTCTCCCCGGCCACCTGTGGGAATGGCCTTGGTTCCCAGGAGAAAGTATTTTGTTTTGGCTACGAAACCCTTCTATCTCTATTCCTCTCTCCCTATCCCTCAGTTCCAGTCTGGCAACACTGAAGTCTCAAAATGACCTCGGCCAGGTCAGCTTCAGGATTGACACAGAAATGGCTCAGCAAATGTCTCTCAAGTTCCTGCGTACTTTTAATTCTTATTTTCTATCTTTTAAAGCTCTGTCAACCATGGTCTAAAACAGGGGTGTCGAACTGGCGTGGCCCGTGGGCTAGATGCGTCATGTGCAGGCCATGCCCACCCAGCCCCGCGAAGGGAAAAAACATCATGTGGGGGCAATTTGACGCCGCAGGTTTGACACGCCTAAAACAATTCCGTGTCTTCCTGCTATTTTGAGATATAAAATCATAGGATAACCAAACACCCTCTAAAGAGGATTAACATTTGATGTAAATCTAACCTAACGTAAGCCTATAAAATTGAATCTTGCTTTCAAGTCTTTCCCTTTTCTGATTGACTAATCCCCTTTCAGCATTGGTGAAATCCAAATTTTTTACTACCAGTTCTGTGGGCGTGGCTTGGTGGACGTGGTGTGGCTTGGTGGGCATGGCAGGGGAAGGATACTGCAGAATCTCCATTCCCACCCCACTCTGGGGACAGCCAGAGGTGGTATTTGCCGGTTCTCCAAACTACTCAAAAGTTCCACTACCGGTTCTCCGAACTACTCAAAATTTCTGCTACCGGTTCGTCAGAACCTGCTGGATTTCACCCCTGCCTTTCAGATATTTGAAGAATAATACCACATCCATCACCAGTTGTCTTTTCTTTAGGCTGTAAACATACACATCTTCCCATAGAAGCAATGCAATACCTTTTTTTTTTTTTTTTTGGAAGAAGGAATAGAAGATGTGGATAGTGAGGGGTTCAATGGACAGTTATGTCTATGGAGATTCTCAGTCATCCAGGCCATGGTTGTCCCAAAGGTGCTTTTTCACAAGGCAGTTGGATTTCCTTTGTTTTGCTTGAAGATGTTTAGCTTCTCATCTGAAAGGTCTTCAAGGAAAAACAAAGAAAGTCCAGTTGCCTTTCGAAAAAAGCACCTTTGGGAATGGACAGTTATGTTCAGTTTTGGCTTTAGATAACTATGAAATGACTTTCACACATGCATCCAAAGCATTCAATCTAATAATTATCTACTAGTCTTATGCAATCATATCTCTAAGATCCAATCTTTGTCGGTTATAATCTTTTATTTGTTTATTAGACTTTTAACTTGCTTTTATTGCTTTATAAGTAACCCAAGGCAATGAAAATACCTAATACTCTTCCCCATTCTATTTTCCCATCAACAACAACAACCTTGTGACAGTGGTGGGTTCCTCCCGGTTCCGCCGAGCCGGAGCGGTGACGATATGACGTCACCAAACTGGTTCTGCCCCCCCAACCCCCCTGTGTTATTCTTACCTTTTATTTGGCCCCACCCCCTGCCTCCTGAGTCCCAGCTGATCGGCTATAAGGAAAAGGCTATTTAAACTTGCTGCGGGGCTTCAAAGAGCCGCCCTACAGCTGATCAGTGTTAAAAGAAAACAAATGAGTAGACTGGTGCCTGCAAAAATAAATGGGTAGACCGGTGCCTGCAAAAATACATGAGTAGACCGGTGCCTGCAAAAATACATGGGTAGACCGGTGCCTGCAAAAATAAATGGGTAGACCGGTACAGCTCTGCAAGCAGTTAAAAGCCTGGTAGACCAGTACCTCTGCTAAATCCTAAAGAATTGTCACATGACCATCAAGCCACGCCCATAAAATAAGCCACACCCACAGAACCGGTAGTAAAAAAATGTAGAAGCCGCCCCTGCCTTGTGAGGTGGGTTGGGCTGGAAGGGAGGTGCTGGCCCAAAGTCATCTGGCTGGCTTTCATGCCTAAGGTGGGACTAGAACTTACTGTCTCCTGGTAATTGGCCAAAGTCACCCAATCTTGTTTCATCCTTAGGCGGGACTAGAACTCATAGTCTGCTGGTGATTGGCCCAAGGTCACCCAGTCAACATTCATGCCTAATATAAGTCTAGAACTCACAGCCTCCTGGTGATACTCTTCCAACCTTTTGGGCTCACGCTGCAGCCTATTTTCAGGGAATTTCTCTCTACTGGAATATATGCTTTGTACTATTCTATGAGTCATATTTATATGATGCCTTCCTATTGGTTGATTGATGTGCTGATTGGCTGTTGTTTCTTTGTGCTGCCAAGACCTCGGTTCCTAAGGATTTGATAAGTTGGTGGTAAATCAGCATTCCTGCTGACTGGCAAGAGGCCTGTTTCTCTGGCTATTTTTGTACCTGCACAGCCAACAATCTTAGTAGCTGTAAAATTGAATGTTATGTCCAAATAATCATACGTCCTTTTGGCAAGAGTTGATAGATGTATAAATCTTGTTCTTCTCCCCCCCCCCTCTTTTTGATACTTAACTAAAGGTATTAATCAAAGTTTTGGACAACAACGATAACGGTCCAGAATTTTCCCACCCAAACTACGATGTGATGATTTCTGAGGACATCATGCCCGACACCGAGATCCTTCAAGTAGAAGCCATGGACAGAGATGAGAAGCACAAGCTCAGCTACATCATTCACAGCAGCCTTGATTCTATCAGCATGAGAAAATTCAGGATGGATCCCAACACAGGCGTCCTCTATACCGCTGAGCGTTTAGATCATGAAGCTCAAGATAAGCACATCCTCAACATAATGGTAAGCGGAGAATATTAAGCTGTACTCTCCCCCAACACAATTGCCAGCTTTTAATAGGCCCGTGCTATAGTCTTCCTGATAAGCAAAACGGCTTTAGATTTGGTTAAGGAGGCAATAATTAGGTTTTTTTTTTTTATTCCCTCCCTTCCGCGGCAATGCATTTATTCGCCGTGGAGGCTTTGTGAGGTTTAATACGAAAGGAGGAATTTTTTATCTTGCAAAATGCTTGTACCATCTTGAAGCCGAACATGTTGGAAACATCATCATCTCCTAGTGTCGGGGCCCTTTTATCGGCGGTAACTTTATTTTAAAGTGTATTCTTCGGAATCTGAACATTCTTTGGGAAAGCTGTTAACAAAGCGATTGTCGCTTTTCTTGCTGTGCTCAGCTCTTAAAAGTCAAACGGTCCGCTTTATTGCAGATTTCTGCCGGGTTTTCGAAAAGGCAGAAGATAACTGATTTTGCTGGTGCCTAAATTACATGGTAGAAATTGTCCCACTGTGAAGTGTGTGCCGAGTGTTAATGGAACAATAACTGGGTTTTTTTCCCCCCCAAAGATGATTTTTAAGAATTTCCACACTCGTGTTGAATTTCCACATTTCGGGTGCCAAAAGCCCTAAGCAAGGTTATTAGCATCATTGGAATTGGATTCACTGTAGTGACTAAAAGACAACTGCCAATTACAATTTCCCATACAGGTAGTCCTCAACTTACAACCAGCTGTTTAGTATCTGTTCGAAGTTAACAACGACACTGAAAAAAATTTGACTTAGGATCATTTTTCAAACTTATGACCGTTGCAGCATCTCCATAGTCACTTGATTTATATTTGGATGCTTGACAAGTGACTCACATTTATGACCCGGAGTCGTGTGATCCCTTTTTGCGATCTTTTGTGACCGTCTAACAATCATGTTACTAACTTAACAACCACAGTGATCCACTTAACAGTTGTGGCAAGAAAGATCGTAAAATCGGACAAAACTCACTCAACAACTGTCTCGCTTAGCAACAGAAATGTTGGGCTCAGTTGTGGTCGTAAGTCGAGGACTACTGGGGTGGTGATGTGTGAAGATATTCTCAGAAATCGATCGAGCACCTTGAAGTGGCCAACTATTAGATGCTGCAACTGTTGTCCACCATCACTTATTTTGTAGGATGAGGAGTAATAATAATCTTTCTGGGCGCAATCATACAACACTTCTCAAACTAGGAGGCCAGCTCACGGGACTAACTATTTATTTATTTATTCATTTATTCATTTATTCATTTATTCATTTATTTATTTATTTATTATTTATTTATTTATTTATTTATTTATTTATTTATTTATTTATTTATTTATTTATTTATTTATTTATTTATTTTATATGCCGCCCTTCTCCGGAGACTCAGGGCGGCTTACAATGCGCTAAGCAATAGCCTTCATACTTTTGTATATTTTTGTACAAAGTCAGCTTATTGCCCCCACAAACCGGGTCCTCAATTTACCCACCTTAGAAAGGATGGAAGGCTGAGTCAACCTTGAGCCTTGGAGAGATTCGAACTCGCAGTAATTGCAGGCAGCTGGATGTTAAATGCTGCCTTAGTAGGAGGCATTAGCCTTCTATGCCACTCAGGCTCCTCATGTATTCTCATGTATCCGGAGCTCTTCAGTCTGCAACAGACATGTTTAACAGAATAACAGAGTTGGAAGGGACCTTGGAGGTCTTCTAGTCCAACCCCCTGCTCAGAGAAGAAAACCCTACACCATTTCAGACAAACGGTTATCCAATCTCTTCTTAAAAACCTCCAGTGTTGGAGCATTTACAACTTCTGGAGGCAGGTTGTTCCACTGGTTAATGGTTCTGTCAGGAAATTTATTCTTAGTTCTAGGTTGCTTCTCTCCTTGATTAGTTTCCATCCATTGCTTCTTGTCCTGCCTTCAGGTGCTTTGGAGAATAGCTTGACTCCCTCTTCTTTGTGGCAGCCCCTTAGATATTGAAACACTGCTATCATGTCACCCCTAGTCTTTCTTTTCACTAGACTGGACTTACCCAGTTCCTGCAACCGTTCTTCATATGTTTTAGCCTCCAGTCCCCTAATCATCTTTGTTGCTCTTCTCTGCACTCTTTCCAGAGTTTCAACCAGGGTTGAAATCCAGCAGGTTCTGGAGAACCAGTAGCAGGAATTTTGAATAGTTTGGAGAACTGGCAAATACCACATCTGGCTGGCCCCAGAGTGGGATGGGAATGGAGATTTTGCAGTATCCTTCCCCTGGAGTGGGGTGGGAATGGAGATTTTGCAGTATCCTTCCCCTGCCACGTCCACCAAGCCATGCCCACAGAACTGGTAGTAAAAAAATTTGAATTTCACCACTGGTCTCAACATCTTTTTTATATCGTGGCGACCAAAACTAGATGCAGCATTCCAAGTGTGGTCTTATACCAAGGCATTATAAAGTATAAAATAGTAATAGCACTTAGACTTATATACCGCTTTGCAGTGCTTTTACAGCCCTCTCTAAGTGGTTTACACAGTGAGCCTATTGCCCCCAACAATCTGGGTCCTCATTTTATCCACCTCGGAAAGATGGAAGGCTGAGTCAACCTTGAGCTGGTGAGGCTCCAACTGCCGAATTGCTGGCAGCCGGCAGTCAGCAGAAGTAGCTTGCAGTACTGCATTCTAACCACAAGGGTCCTATGATTTACAAATGCCCTGGAGCACATCAATAACGCTTAAGAAAAACAAAAGAAGCAAACTTTAAAACTGCTCCACGTTCCAACTGGGCACAAGGGTGACAAATATTTTTCACTTGCCCTACTGAAGAGATTATTTCCTCTTTCCTCCAGGTTCGAGACCAGGAGTTTCCTTATCGACGTAACTTGGCGAGGATCATTGTAAACGTGGAGGATTCCAATGATCACAGTCCTTACTTCACCAGCCCTCTGTACGAAGCCTCTGTGTTTGAATCGGCTGCCGTCGGATCTGCAGTTTTGCAGGTCACTGCCCTGGACAAAGATAAAGGAGAGAACGCAGAGTTGATGTACACCATTGAAGCAGGTTAGCAAGCCAAGAATTAAATAACCTCTAAGTGTTTTGTTTTGTTTTTTTGCTTCATTTTTTTTATTTTATAACATACAACCCTCTAAGACTTTTTTATGCTCAAGAGCAGGGGTGTCAAACTCAAAGTCCACGGGGTGCTTAGATCTGACCCATGGGGCCACCCTTAGAACAGCGAAGAACCGGCCTGCAATTTATTTATTTATTTATTTATTTAATTTATATACCACCCTTCTCCCGAAGGACTCAGGGCGGTGAACAGCCATAATAAAAAAAACGTACAAAAATAGAATTTAAAAGCAGATTAAAATAATTAAATCATAGGCCGAATTTAAAACTCTCATTTTAAAACCAATTTTTAAAACCCCATTAAAACCAAATTAAAATCATTTATCCCATCAGAGCGGCTTGCAATGCCTCTGGCCACAAAAATAGAGCTCGGGAGGGCCACTTGCGGCTCTCGCAAGCTCCATTTTCGCTGGCAGAAGGTTGCAGGAGGCCGACACAGCCGGAAACGGAACTCAGGAGGCCGTCGCAACTGGAAACGGAACTCAGGAGGCCGTTTTCGCTGGCAGAGCGCTCGGGCCGCCACAGGTGCCCCCGACACAAGTGATATCAAGCTAGCCACACCCCACCCTGGCCATACCCACCCCGGCCCCCCAAGGTCAAACACAACCCTGATGCGGCCCTCAGTGAAATCGAGTTTGACACCCCTGCTCAAGAGTTTCATGTACGTGATTTAAGGCAATTGTTTTAACTGCAGTTTAAAATTGGAAGACATGTAATCTCAAAAGAAGGTAGGTGTGGTCAGTTCCCATAGAAATCAAACCTAATTAGCCCTAATAATGAGCTCATTGGCTTTTATCTATTTTGCCTTCCAGACAGGCAGCTTTATTAAGCAGCTGCCTTTATTTGCCTTCTGATGCATATTATCCTTGTAAAAATTGTTCACGTTATTTTTTTGTTGTTGTGGATACGGTTGCCTTTCTAAAGCTAATTTGCTAAGAAATACACCATCTGGAATGCAACGGGATTTCAGATTAAACTATTTTATGAGCCACTTCTGAGATGGTAGATCCCGACTTGCTTCTAAAGCAGCAGATAAAGAAATGGTCAGCATTGGATCAAGGCTTTTATTTATTTAGAAATCTTGACACAAACGGACAATCTTCTCTGCCCTTTGGATTCATAAACCCATCCACATTGGACGGACAGACAGACAGAGACATATATATTGTGCAGGGATGGTACTCACTTACCTTCGCTACCGGTTCGCAAATGGAAGCACATATGCCATCTCCGCGCATGCGCAGAGCCTTCCGCGTGTGCGCAGAGCCTTCCGCGCATGTGCAGAGCATCAAAAATATGACATAATGACATCCAGGTGGGCGGACCTTCCCGCAGCCGCCGCTACGGGTTCGCCCGAACAGATAGAACCAGCTGAATACCAGCACTGATATTATGCATGTCTGTGATGATTCCTCGGACATTTTATGGCTGTTTTGGTAACTTTGGGTCTTAGAGGGAATCCCCATTGGAGAATGGACTTAGAACTATGATCGGGTGGCATGGAATTCTTTTTATTTGGTACTGCAGGTAGTGACTTAAAACAGCTCATTTAGTGACCATTCCAAGTTAACAACAGCACTGAAAAGTGACTTGCAACCATTTTTCACACTTACAAGTGTTGCAGCATTCTCATGTTCATGTTTAGTTTAGTTTAGTTTAGTTTATTGGATTTATATACCGCCCTACTCCCGAAGGACTCAGGGCGGTGAACAGCCACAAAATAAAATACATATATACAAAATTTAAAAGCTGAATAAAACCGAATTAAACAGTTTGGCCCCAGACAGAATTAAAACACCCCAATAATTTAAAAACAAATTAAAATTTACGTTTTAAAAGGAAAAGGGGAAAAAATGAAGATTAGGCCAGGCCAGCCTAATGTGATCAAAATTCAGAGTCTGACTCACATTTACGACATTTGCACTGTCCCCAGGTCATAGGGTCAACTTTTGTGACCTTCTGACAAGCAATGTCAATGGAGAAGCCAGATTCACTTAACAACCATGTTACTGACTTAACCGCTGCAGTGAGTCACTAAACAACTGCAGCAAGAAAGTTCCTAAAATGGAGCAAAACTCACTTAACCGCTGTCTCAGTTACCGTGTTTCCCCGAAAATAAGACTGTGTCTTATATTTTTTTGAACCCGGAAATAAGTGTTTGGCCTTATTTTCGGGGAGGTCTTATTATTTTGGGGCGCGTGGAGTAAGACAGGGCTCCTCTTGCTGTCATACCTGATTTCCAGCTCTGTGTTTAAATATTTTCAGGGAGGGCTTATTTTGGGGGGAGGCTTATTTTAGCACATGTGGTCAAAAGCCCAATTGGACTTATTATCAGGGGATGTCTTATTTTTGGGGAAACAGGGTAGCAACAAAAAATTTGGGCTCAATTGTGGTTGTAAGTTGAGGACTGCTTGTATTAAATCAGGGGTGTCAAACTCAAGGCCCACGGGCCAGAAGCGGGCCGCAGGGTGCCTAAATCTGACCCATGGGGCCGCCTTGAAAATAGCAAAAGACTGGCCCGCGGTGCCTCTGGCAGCCAAAACAGGGCGTGGGGGGGGGCGTGCGCAGCAGTGGTGGTATTCAAATCCCAGCGCTACCAGTTCGCTATCGGTAGCGCATAGTGCTTCTGCGCATGCGCAGAGCATTTTGGGGGATGTCTGGGTGGGTAGGCGGAGCCCCCCACCGCCACCATTACCGATTCGCCCAAACCAGGGCGAACTGGGAGCAACACATCCCTGGTCCACAGACCCCCACGTGGCCTGTTTTGGCCGGCAAAGTGCTGCAGGGGGCCGTCCAAGCCGAAAACGTGCCTCATGCATCTCCCACCCACGCCCCATTTTGGCCAGTAAAGTGTTGCAGGAGGCATCCGTCCTGTCTCCCCCTCTCCCCCAACCCCACCGGCCGGCCCACAGAGGAGAACTACAATGCTGATCTGGCCCGCGAAGAAATCCAGTTTGACACCCCTGTGTTAGATAATCCCAGGTTGAGCAGCTACTACATTCCAAAGTTCATTAAAGGCATTTTTTTTAAGATCAATTTACAAAGCACAGGAGACGGGAGCTAAGCAAGCAGGGAATGTTTTATCATTTCCTACCTGGTACTTCCATCCGTTAAGTTTCTTCCTCCAAGCAATTGGTCCTGTGTTGTATATATTTCCCAGGCAGTTTGGAGAAAAGCAGTCAGTACGGCTGGACTAGGGACGAAAGAGAATTTCCCTAAATATACTCCTGGGGGTGATTTGGGTCTTTGCTAGTTGTTCCATGGTGATGAATTAAGTGTATCTAACTTTCTCACTTGAAAAAAAAATTTTTTTTTTTGCAATGGATATGTTTACTTTTCTCGGTAAATGTGGTGTCCAAGGGGATCTATTCTATTTTTATTAACTTCTTAAAGGTTTGGTGCAATACAGTGATATTACTCTGGGCTCTCTGAAAAAATAGAGACTTCTTTCCTGGGGATTTCTTGAAACAAACATATAAAGACTTTGTTCTGAAGAGCTAAAGTAGCTAAGTAATCTTCATGGGACAGTTATTAGGTAAACCCACAGCTGGCTTCAAAATCAGCACTCACCGAAGATTCATCCAGCTCAGCTCTACTGCGCACACGCACCTCCTGCCAGCCACCTGATTTTTGGGATGCGCGGGGCGCATGCAGGAGACATGTGCAGGGAGGATTGCGGGGAGGTGGGGGTCACATGTATGGGGGACGGGCAGTGGGTGGAGTGGTGTGCCTGTTTTGGGGCCCAGGAGGCTGCAGGGAGGCCTGCTAGGCCCAAAACAGGCCGTGGCGGGTGCAGCCCGCCACCGCCTCGGCCCATTTTTGGCCCGGGAGGCTGCAGGGAGGCCTGCTAGGCCCAAAACGAGGCATAGGGTGGTCGTGCGTGCATGCGTAGGGAGGCAGGGAGAGCGTGGGGTGCTGTGCCCGCATGCGCAGGGGGGCGCCCACATTGCATTATGGGTGCCAGCATGCACACGTGTTGTCACACACCCATGTGCGCTGTTTCGGCACACAATGAGAAAAAGGTTAGCCATCACTGGTTTAGACATTTCTTTCAAAAGGAAACAAAGAACTAGAGCAGCCCCTACCTCGATCTGCAATTCCTGGGCGGGGGGGGGGGGTTGGAATCGCCCTCTTATCTCTTGAGAGGGGTCTCCCACCCCCGCTGCTTTGCAGCTGAGCACTTTGTAGCCCCACGACTTGCTCATCTCTGTGGTGAATGGACAAAGCGATGCCATGGCATCGGTTCAGCAGGATAGAAAGAAAAAATAAAACGCTTCTAATAATGAAGGAGGGGAGGCGTAGGACGGCAGCCAGGAAGTGGGACGGTGTGAAGCTTTCCTGCAGCACAATTGTGCAGAAGCTTGAAACCTTTTAATGAGACTTTATCTCTCCATGACTATCACCGGTTCCTTTTTTCATCCCACTCTCTGCCAGCAATTTGAAGCTTCAAGCCTCGGCTTCAGATAAAAATGTGAATTCCCACTGTTTCATTATCCACAGATGCTCCCGGATGCGCTGTAATATAGCTTTTGGAGGCCGCCATTTCTCTGATCCATGAATGAATCTGAAGAGAGGATGTTAATTTTAACGGATGTGTTCAGGCTATAGGCATGGGCTTTTTATTTTTATTTTATTTTATTTTACTTCCCAGGGCATTCAGTTAACATGAACACTGCACTGGATAATAGAAACCAATAATTTCACACTTAATAACCTCCGAGAGTCCCCATCTTTTATAAACGCCTGAGTCTGTGGGGAGGCTCAAACGTCTCATCTGAGAAATACTATAGACCAGTGATGGCTAACCCTTTTGCCATCGCGTGCCAAAAGCAGGGGGAGCGCGGGGGGGTCGCACACATGCATGCTCACACCCATAATTCTATGCGCCCACCCCCCGTGCATTTGTGTGTGAGACCACCCTGAGCTCCCCCTGCTTTTGGCACGCGATGGCACGGTAGTCCCATTTTTTGCTCTCCCCAGGCTCCAAAGCCTCTCTAGGAGCCTGGGGAGGGTGAAAACGGCTGTCCCCACCCCCCCGGAAGCCGGAAACGACCCATTTGCCGACTTCCAGTGGGACTGGAAGGCCCATTTTTTGCTCTCCCCAGGCTCCAGAGCCTCTCCAGGAGCCTGAGGAGGGCAAAAACAGCCTTCCCCACTCTCCCCAGGCCCTCTGGAGTCAGGAAACAGCCTGTTTCCCGACTTCTGGTGGGCCCAGAAGGCCTGAAAATCAGCTGGCCAGTGCACGCATGCGCCCCGGAGCTGAGCTCACGTGCCCACTGATATGGCTACGCATGCCATAGGTTCGCCATCATGGCTATAGACACTCAGTACACTAGTCCCATTGACTAGGTCAGTGATGGCTAACCTTTTCCGGACCGAGTGTCCAAAGTGTGCGAGCACACGAATGTGTGCACATGCACCCAAACCCCCAAAATGCAATGTGTGCGCTGCCCCATCGCATGCACCCTGCCAACATGCATGTGTGTGGTCCCCGTGCGTGCACCCCACCCCGTGCATGCGTGCCTGGCCCTGCCGCATGTGCCCCGCCCCTGAGCATGCACCTCACCCCCCACATGCCCCACCCTCCACGCATGCGTGCGCACCCCCCACAAGCCCCGCCCCCCGCGCATACACGGCACAGACCCGATGACCAGCTAGTGGAGCTGAACAGGGGTGACGGCTCGCGTGCCCACAGAGAGGGCACTGTGTGCCACCTCTGGCACGGGTGCCATATATTCGCCATCACGGGACTAGGTGGATCATACATTTTCCCTTTGAATGGAATCCATTGTTAATGCTTTTTAATTTATAATCCAAAGGTAACGCCTTTGAGGGGAATATAGAGGACTAATTTGCTGTAATTGCATCTGGGAATGATTGTAGAGGACAAGAGGAAGAGCTGCAGTAGAACCAATGTATTGATAATATGTTAGTTCAGAATAACAGAGTTGGAAGGGATCTTGGAGGTCTTCTAGTCCAACCCCTTGATCAAGCAGGAGACCCTATACCATTGCAGACAAGTGGCTGTACAGTCTTTTCTTAAAAGCCTCTGTGATGGAGCACCCACAGCTCCTGAAGGCAAGCTGTTCCACTGGTTTAGTCTTCTCACTGTTAGGAAATGTATCCTTAATTCTAGGTTGCTTCTCTCCTTGATTAGTTTCCATCCATTGTTTCTTGTTTTGCTTTCTGGTGCTTTGGGAAATAAGTTAACCTTATTTCCAAGATCCCTCTCACAGTTACTCTACTGCTGAGCTAGGTTTCACCTAATCTGTACCTTTATATTTGATTTTTCATGCCTAAATTTAAAACATTAACTTTTCTCTACATTTAAATTTCATTTCAATTAAAAAATAATAATTGAAAAGAGGAGGGGTGGTAAAAGTCTCCCAGAAGAGACTCTCTAGTTTTCAGTAGAGTGAAAATGAGAGACAGGAGGGGTACTGGAAGGAAGGAAGGAAGGAAGGAAGGAAGGAAGGAAGGAAGGAAGGAAGGAAGGAAGGAAAGAGGGAGAGAGGGAAGGAGGGAGGGAGGGAAGGAAGGAAGGGAGGGAAGAGGGAGGGAAGGAAGGAAAGAAAGAGGGAGGGGAAGGAAGGAAGGAAGAAGAGAGGGAAAGAAGGAAGGAAAGAGGAAGGGGAAGGAAGGAAAGAGGGAGAGAGGGAAGGAGGGAGGGAGGGAAGGAAGGAAAGAAAGAGGAAGGAAGGAAGGAAGGAAAGTGGGAAGGAAAGAAGACTTGGGAAACAGAAAAAAAGCCTCCTGCTCACATGTCAGTATTTATATCCTAAATCCTAAATATGAATTGTTAGCATCAGATACTAACATTGTTAGTATCAGAGAGAACAAAAGAGTTATAACGAGTCAAATGTCCCTTTTCATCAAAGCTACTTTTTATGCTTGAATAGCTAAAGAGACAGAAAAAGTGCAAGGTTCAGGTCACGCCAGCAACTTGACACAAGCCGTTCCATCAAAATGGATCATGGTCTGCACCAACAATGCACAAAAGCATGAAGAGACTGCGCGCGCGCACACACACACACACACACACACACACACACACACAGGGCAGACCAGCCAGCATAACCTCTTTTGTATTTGCAAATGCACACTCAAGTCTCCATTTAAAGAAAAAAAAGGGGGGGGGCATGAGATGACAAGAAAAGGCAGTCCAGAGAATGCAAGATAAAGGAAATAATTCTAAAAACCAAACCAAAGGAATGACCAAAAAGAAATAACTCTACAACCATCCCAAATAAAAACGGGCCAAGCAGAAAATTTTTGAAGGAGAAAAGAGCTGCTAATAATAGTACTGTATTTTTATGATGGGTTGCTGAGTTGAGCTGCGATTCTGGTTTCTTTGTTCCATTGACTGAGAAGCTTTCAAAGTGCCTTTGAAGATAGAGATGGTCACTGCATATGGAAAGCATCCTGAATCTCAGTATCAACAAAGCAACAAAGATGATTAGGAGACTGGAGGATAAAACATATAAAGAACGGTTGCAGGAACTGGGTATGTCTAGTTTAATGAAAAGAAGGACTAGGAGTGACATGATAGCAGTCTTCCAATATCTCAGGGGTTGCCACAAAGAAGAGAGAGTCAAGCTCTCCTCCAAAGCATCTGAAACAGGGGTGCTATTCAGCAGGTTCTGACAGGTTCTAGAGAACCCTTAGCGGAAATTTTGAGTCGTTCGGAGAACCAGCAAATACCACCTCTGGCTGGCCCCAGAGTGGGATGGGAATGGAGATTTTGCAATATCCTTCCCCCAGGAGTGGGGAGAGAATGGGGATTTTGCAGTATCTTTCCCCTGGAGTGGGGAGGGAATGGGGATTTTGCAGTATCCCTCCCCTGCCACACCCACCAAGCCATGTCCACACCACACCCATCAAGCCACACCCACAGAACCAGTAGTAAAAAAATATTGAATTCCACCACTGATCTGAAGGCAGGAGAAGAAGCATTAGATGGAAACTAATCAAGAAGAGAACCAACCTAAAATCAAGGAGAAATTTCCTGACAGTTAGAACAATTAATCAGTAGAACAACTTGCCTACAGAAGCTTTAAATGCTCCAACACTGGAAGTTTTGAAGAAAAGATTGGACAGCTATTTATCTGAAATGGTATATGGTTTCCTGCTTGAGCAGGTAGTTGGAGTAGAAAACCTCCAATCTTACCAGTTTTGCTGTTGTGGGCCACTTATCTGAGATCCTGCTTCCCCACTGTAATTTTACCAAAAATGTTCCAAACATTCATTTGTTTGTTCGTTCATTCATTCGTTAGATTTTTATATTGCCTTTATTAATTTACAGCTAATTCAACACGGTGAACATGCCTATAATATTCTTCCACTTATTTTCTCCACAACAACCCTGTGATGTAAGTTGGGCTGAGAAAGAGTGGCCAGCCCAAAGTCACCCAGCAAAACTAGAATTCACTGTCTCCTGGTTTCTTGGCCACCATCTTAATTACTAACACCAAAGTATCTGAATAAGAGTGACGGGCTTTTTAATTTCCTTCTGTAAATCTCCCAAAATGAGCTTTTCTCTACACAAAATAGTTCAGGCCCATACTTTTCTATTTCCTGCCCCAAATCTTTTTCATTTTCCGTATTTTTCGGAGTATAAGACGCACCCTAGTTTTTGGGGAGGAAAATAAGAAAAAAACTGATTGGCAGATAGATCTGCCTCCCGGAATACCCCCAATCAGCTTTTTCCAGAGGGGAATTTTAGCAACAGATTCTTTGGTTGTGAGCTCTGTGCCTTGCTTTTTTTTTTTTTTGCTTTTTTCCTGCCTCTGAAAGCCTCTGAAACAGAGCTTCAGAATAAAAGCCTCTGAAGCTCTGTTTGGGGGCTTTTTTTCTGAAGCTTCGTTTCTGATGCTTTTTTCAGCCTCTGAACCCTCCGTTTGAGAAGCTGGGCGGGGCTACATTCGGAGTATAAGACGCACCCAGATTTTCACCCACTTTTTTGGAGGAAAAAGGTGCGTTTTATACTCTGAAAAATACGGTAATTCCTGCATTCAGCAATGGACTTTTTCTACATCTCTTCCCTATTTTTTAAAAAAATGTGTATTCCGTGATTAATAAACTTCGAAAGCTCAGTTGCTTTCAGAATAAAGTCCATTATATAAAAGATGTACAGAAAATTCGAAATAAAGGAAATGGGTTGTGAATTGGTAGCTTACCAATTTAAGGATTGGATGGGTTCGGTTTGGTTTTATGGATCACACATACTTTTCTCCTAATGTGATGTCACTAGGCGCCAGTGGTGAAATCCTTCATGGTTTGCCACCGGTTTGCTGCCCGCGCATGTGTGGTACGTTTCAAATGTGCCCTGTGTGCGTGCATGCCCAGCGTGCGCCAAATGCACACTGCACATGCACACTGCATGCCAAACGCACACTGCATGCAGAAAAAGGAGGCTTAAGAAGATAAATAGAACAGCGAGGGAGGGAACAGCTGTGCCGCACGATTTAGATTAGCTAGAAAGCAAGATTTCCTGCTTTCTAACTAATATAAATCGTGCGGCATAGCTGATCGTCGGAAATACCAGTTCACGAACTGGTAGCTTGTTTTAACTACCGGTTCACCTGAACCGGTAGCTTTTATTACTACCAGTTCGCCCGAACTGGTGCGAACCGGTAGCATTTCACCCCTGCTAAGTGCCTATTGAATGTTCTTCAGTCTCTGATATTATAGTTTGACTTTTTTTCTCTTATGTTTAAATTTCACATTTAATTCATTTTTCCTGTTTCATTCTTTCAGGGAATACTGGAAACACATTCAGGATTGAACCAATTCTAGGCATCATCACCGTGCTGAAAGAACCAGACCTGACCACCATGAACCAGTTTGTGCTATCCGTTAAAGCGGCCGACCAGGGTTCTCCCCCGTTGTCAGCTACTGCCATTGTCCGCATATCTGTGACGATGTCGGACAACTCCCACCCCAAATTCACGCACAAGGAATGGCAAGCTGAAATCAATGAAAATGTTGATTTTGGGACTTCGGTTATCCAAGTCTCGGCAATCAGTCAGTCTACATTAGTGTACGAAGTCAAAGATGGCAATGTAGACGGAGCCTTCGTGATCAACCCTTATTCTGGAGTCATCACGAGCCAGAAGTCTCTTGATTATGAGCACACTTCCTCTTACCAGCTTGTAGTGCAAGCCACAAACATGGCAGGGATGGCATCAAATGCCACTGTAAACATCCAGATAGTTGATGAAAATGACAACCCGCCTGTTTTTCTTTTTTCTCAATACTTGGGCAGCATCAGTGAAGCCGCACCTGTAAATAGCATTGTCCGGAGCGTGGGAAACAATCCACTTGTGATACGAGCCACGGATGCCGATAGTAATCAAAATGCACTGCTCGTCTACCAGATTGTGGAGTCAACTGCCAAGAATTATTTTACAGTAGACTCTAGTACAGGTGCGATTAGAACGATTGCTGATTTGGATCACGAAACCATCGCTCATTTCTACTTCCACGTTCACGTTCGAGATAGCGGCAATCCCCAGCTTACTGCAGAAAGTCCCGTGGAAGTTACCATTGATGTAACGGATGTCAATGATAATCCTCCAGTGTTCAGCCAGGCAATGTTTGAAACCATCTTGCTTCTACCGACTTACGTGGGAGTGGAGGTTCTTCAAGTCAAAGCCGTGGACCCAGATTTAGAAGTCCCCTCTGAACTGACTTACAGCCTGATTGAAGGGAACACAGAATATTTTCTCGTTGATCCAATTTCTGGGGTGCTGACCATAAAAAACAACAGCCTTTCCAAAGACCATTACATGCTGATCGTGAAAGTGTCCGATGGGAAATTTTACAGTAGTGCTATAGTGACAATAATGGTCAAGGAAGCCATGGATAGCGGTCTTCACTTCACTCAGAGCCATTATTCTACATCAATCTTGGAGAACAGCACCAACGTCACCAAGGTAGCGGTGGTCAATGCGATTGGAAACCGTCTCAACGAGCCCTTGAAGTATAGCATATTAAACCCCGGGAACAAATTCAAGATCAAACCCACTTTAGGTCTTATTCAAACTGTTGGCCTCCCATTTGACAGAGAAGAACAGGAATTATATGAATTGGTGGTAGAGGCTAGCCGCGAGCTGGACCATCTACGGGTGGCCAGAGTGGTTGTCCGAATTCTCATTGAAGACATCAACGACAATGCTCCGGTATTTGTTGGACTTCCATACTATGCTGCTGTTCAAGTTGAGGCTGATCCTGGCACTCTGATATACCGAGTGAGGGCCATTGATAAAGACAAGGGCGCAAATGGGGATGTATCTTATCTATTGAAGGAGGACTACGGGCACTTTGAAATTGACAGTCACAGTGGGAGCATCACCTTGAAAGCGCCCTTTAACTCCGACTTATCTAATATAGAATATTTAATTATTGTCATAGCTAAAGATGGAGGTGACCCATCACTGTCTGCTTCTGTGGAACTGCCCATCACCATTGTTAATAAAGCCATGCCCATCTTTGACAAGCCCTTCTACACAGCCTCTGTCAATGAAGACATAGAAATGAACACCCCGATCCTGAGCATCAATGCTACCAGCCCAGAAGGTCAAGGTATCATTTACATCATAGTAGACGGGGATCTTTATAATCAATTCAATATTGACTTTGACACAGGAGTCCTCAGTGTCATCAGTCCATTAGACTTTGAACTCAATCCCATTTTCAAGTTGACGGTGAGAGCCAGTGATGCTCTTACTGGTGCCCGAGCTGAAGTTACAGTGGACTTAATTATCAAGGATGTCAATGACAATGCTCCAGTGTTTGACCACTTTGCTTATAACGCCACCTTAACCGAAGCCTCCTTGATTGGGACTCCTGTCTTACAGGTCATTGCTACCGATGCAGATTCCGACAATAACAAAATCATTCAGTACCAGATAGTCCAGGACACTTTCAATAGCACAGATTATTTTCATATCGATGGGACAAGCGGACTGATCCTAACTGCCCGCTTGTTGGACCATGAACTGATGCAGCAGTGCAGCTTAAAAGTACGGGCCACCGATAATGGATTCCCACCTCTAAGCAGTGAAGTTCTAGTTAACATCTACGTGACAGATATGAACGACAACCCTCCTATTTTTAATCAGTTGATCTATGAATCCTATGTCAGTGAATTAGCTCCTCGGGGTCATTTTGTGACCTGTGTCCAGGCTTCCGATGCAGACAGCTCCGATTTTGACCGATTGGAGTACAGTATCTTGTCTGGAAATGACCGTACCAGTTTTGTGATGGATGCCAAAAGTGGCGTCATCACGCTGTCGAATCATCGGAAGCAGAGAATGGAGTCAATGTACAGCTTGAACGTTTCTGTTTCTGATGGTTTGTTTACCAGCACTGCCCAAGTCCATATCCAGATTCTCGGAGCTAATTTGTACAGCCCTGTATTCACACAAAGTATTTATGTGGCAGAAGTCAGAGAAAACGCTGTCCCGGGAACCAGGGTGATCCACGTAAAAGCAACCGATGGAGATTCGGGCATCTACGGTCAGATAAGTTACTCCATCATCAATGATTTCGCCAAAGACAGATTTGTCATTGACAGCAAAGGGCAGATCCTCACCACGGAGAAACTCGATAGGGAGCTGCCTTTAGAAGGTGACATCACCATATTTTTAAGAGCTCTCGATGGCGGAGGGAGGAGCACATTCTGCACGGTCCGAGTCATAGTGGTGGATGAGAACGACAATGCCCCACAGTTCATGACTGTGGAATACAGAGCAAGTGTCAAAGCAGATGTTGGAAAAGGCCACTTAGTCACTCAGGTCCAAGCTCTTGATCCTGATGATGGTGCCAATGCTAGGATTGTCTACTCCCTGTATAGTGAAGCCTCTGTTTCTGTTGCAGATCTTCTGGAAATTGATCCAGACAATGGATGGATGGTAACCAAGGGGAATTTCAACCAGCTGAAAAATACGGTGCTATCTTTTTTTGTCAAAGCCGTTGACGGGGGCATTCCCGTACGGCATTCCCTTATCCCTGTGTACATACACGTTTTACCTCCAGAAACCATCTTGCCTTCATTTTCTCAACCTCAGTATTCCTTTACAGTATCAGAAGATGCCCTCATAGGGAGTACAATTGATGCTCTCCACGTTTTGCCTAACCAAGGCGTCGTCTACAGCACGGTCAATGGCGAATTGACCGGAAACAACAAGGATGGAGTTTTTATTATAGAGCAAGACACTGGCATTATAAAACTGGACAAGAGGCTGGATCATGAGGCAGACCCCGCCTTTCATTTTAAAGTGGCTGCAACCTTACAGCTTGATAAGGTGGACATTGTGGTAACCGTGGATGTGGACATTAAAGTTCTAGACATTAACGACAACAAGCCTATTTTTGAGGCAGCCAAGTATGACACGATCGTAATGGAGGGAATGCCAATAGGGACTAAACTTGTACAAGTCAAAGCAACCGACGCAGATTCGGGGGCCAACGGTCAAGTCACCTATTCTCTTTTAACAGAATTGGATATTGACCAGATCTCGGAAGTGTTCACTATTGACAGCAACAGTGGCTGGATCAGCACCTTGAAAGATTTAGACCATGAGACGGATCCCACTTTTGCCTTCACTGTGGTTTCTTCTGACCTGGGAGAAGCCCTGTCCCTCTCCTCAACCACCTTAATCTCGGTCACCGTGACTGACATCAACGACAATGCTCCCGTATTCCAGCAGGAGATGTACAGGGGGTCTGTGAAGGAGAGTGACCCACCGGGAGAAGTCGTGGCTGTCCTTAGCACTTGGGATGAAGATACCTCTGACATCAACCACCAAATTAGCTACCATATTACAGGTAAGTTTCCTTTCAAACCTAGTATTTCCCTGAAAATAAGACCTAGTCTTATCAGCACCAGGTCTTATTTTGGGGGGATGTCTTACCCCCACTTACCATAGGACCACCGCAGTCAGACCTCCCGTGTTCCAACACCTGTCGCATTGGTGCCCAACTTCTGTGGCTACTCACGGCCAGACACCGTGTGGCTCATTACACCAGTGCCACCTCTCACGGCAGGCCACATGGAGTGTTGTTCACTGGTGCAACATGCCACTCGGCGTACTGCCATGAGTGGCGGCACTGGCACAACAAGCCACGTGGCATCCTTTGAGTGGTGGAACTGGTGCGATGTGCCACGTACCATCTGGCTGCAAGCAGCCGCAAAAGAGTGGCATAAATAGGGCATGGGAGGCTTGGCTGTGGCCATCCTAAAGTAAGCAGGCATTGGGCAGCTCCACCACCACCCTAGCCTCATACACCCACCATGTGGTTGGGTTAAACCTAGTTAAACCTAGGACTTATTTTTGGGTAGGACTGGCATGAAAACCAAGCTAGGGCTTGTTTTCTGGGTAGGTCATATTTTTGGGGAAACACAGTATAAAAAGGAAGCGTTTTGGGGCAGCTTAAGCTTTACCAGCAGATGGTTCCTCATTCCAGCCCTGGCTTCTCTGGTTAAGAAGAATGTTAGGTAGCAGAATTGAGCAGACCCAGATTTTTCAGGTGGTCCTTCTTTAATGACTACTTGTTCAGCAACTGTTTGAACTTACTTATAATTGGTCCTCAAACTTCCCACCGTCATAGCATTTCTGCCCTGTGATCATGAGCCCTGGTGGCGCAGTGGTTAAAGTGCAGTATTGCAGGCAAATTCTGCCCACAGCCTGGAGTTTGAAGGTTGACTCAGCCTTCCATCCTTCCGAGGCTGGTACTGTAAAAGATGTATGGACTTCAATTCCCAGAATTCCCCAGCCAACAAGGCTGGGGAATTTAATTCTTTATTTAAATCAAATCAATTGCAACAATTACAGTATTTTTTTGGAGTATAAGATGCACCGGAGTATAAGACGCACCTACCTTTTTTGGTGAGGAAAAGAAGAAAAAGAAATCTCCCTCTGCCTCTCAGCAATTTTGCCTCATTGCAGCAAACAACAAACAGCCTGCTTTACTTTCATTTTCGTTTTCACCATAGCTTGATTAGCACAAGTGAAAAAAAAAAAATCTGCTCCAGCAATCTACCTCTTTGCAGCAAGCAGCAGAGGCCTGGGCAAAACAGCTGAGAGCAAAACAGCTGAGAGTCGGGAGGCCGATCCAATCAACTTGTGCTAATTAGACTGTGCTAAAGCTGAAAAGAACTGTTTTTTCTTGCTCTTTGCTTGCAAGGAGGTAACTGCTGTGAGGCAGAGGCCAAAGGGTGGCGGCCAGTGGGTGGGCGGGGCTACATTTGGTATATAAGACGCACCTAAATTTTCACCCCCTTTTGGGGGGGGGAAAGGTGTGTCTTATACTCCAAAAAATACGGTAAGTCCTTGCTTAAGTGTGGTACTCTACCCACTGAAAGTTATACAGTCCAGTTATAGGCTTTGTATTTAAAAGAATGAATCTTGGCTCAACCTTTTTTTCAATATGAATATAAATACATATAAATAAAAGAGCCCTCATGGGCTTCCCGCATCCTGGAGTTTGATCCTGATGGGACTCAAGATTGACTTAGCCTTCCATCCTTCCGAGGTCGGTAAAACAAGAACCCAGATTATTGGGGGCAAATAATGCCTACATTATAAGCCACCCAGAGAGTGCTGTAAAGTACTGTGGGGCAGGATATAAGTCTTATTGCTATCCAGGCACTCGGCAACTTGTCCCAACCATCACAGTATCCTGTGCTTGCAATTTGTGGCCTTCCCTGCCAATTTCCCACAAGCAAAGTCAATAGCTAGCACAAAGTCAGAAGTTGCAATTACATAAGGTCCTCATTTAACAACGTTAACTGGGGCGGCCTGCTGGGACTGCCATCGCTAAACAGCACAGTCATGTGCAGTGGTGAAATCCAATTTTTTTTTTCACTATCGGTTCTATGGGCGTGGCTTGGTGGGCGTGGTGTGGTTTGGTTTGGTGGGCATGGCTTGGTGAGCGTGGCAGGGGAAGGATACTGCAAAATCCCCATTTCCTCCCCACTCCTGGGAGAAGGATATTGCAAAATCTCCATTCCCACCCCACTCTGGGGCCAGTCGGTATTTGCCGGTTCTCCGAACTACTCAAAATTTCCACTACCGGTTCTCCGAACTGCTCAAAATTTCCGCTACCGGTTCTCCAGAACCTGTCAGAACCTGCTGAATTTCAGCCCGGTCATGTGACATTGAACTTTATGACCATATCACTTAGCAACATAAATTCTGGTCTCAATTACCATTGTTAAGTGATGACTATCTGAAAAAGAACACCGAATAAATCCAGAGTGTTCTGTAAACAAAGTGACTCTCAGCACCTCTAGCCTCTTGAGAAATATGGGTAGAGAGATTTTTTACCTTTAGCGTTACAGATAGAAGGAAGTGAAACGGAGAAATACAGTGTGGCAAATAAAAACAGCAGACACAGCAACGAAGCTAGATAGATAGCAGCAATTGGGTACTGGTATAGTTAAGTAATTCAAATAATGATTTAAGCATGAAAAATTAGAGCCAGTTTGTTCTAGTGATAATGGTTAAGGCACTAGGGGAGAAACCAGGAGATTGTGAGTTCTAGTACCGACTTAAGCATGATATCACGGTTCCGAGCCTAGTCAGTAAGGAACGAGGCCACACCATCAGCAGAGCAACTCTCCTTTACTTGGTAATAGACTCGTCACACAGTGACACAGTGACACAGATTTAGACAGCGTTACAGCGTTCTGCCCTCCAGCTGATTATGAGGGCTTGGCATGCCTTGCCCTCTTGGAAGGCTCGCTCCAGCAAGGAATCACCAGTCTTGGACTCCTCGGCTCCACGCCGGTCTCAAACGCTGCTATTTCTCGCCTTGCTATCTCGTCCCACCCCTCCATGAGTCCTTCGCAACACCCAATATCCCACACTCATCTATGCAATGTTGACAGTGACAATGTCTCCCTCTACCAGGGAGAACGTACCTGGAAAAGAAGAAGCATATGTATAGGTTAGTGAATATGTGGTCAGAGTCGTTTCTCGGGGGTTCCCTCCCTGGGCTTGTTGATCAGCCTCTCTGCTCTCACGTCTTTACGCTTCACGTAAAGCTGGCTGAGTAATTTTGGGCTAGTCACTCTTCTTTCAGCCCGTGACATCAGGTAATTTCTGTCCCAACCAATGGATTAACACTCAGTTGTTCCAGAAAGAGCCTTGATAGTACAGTGGTCTAAGCACCCTGTTATTAACACAGCTGCCTGCAATTACTGCTGGTTCGAATCTCTCCAAGGCTCAAGGTTGACTCAGCCTTCCATCCTTTCTAAGGTAGGTGAAATGAGGACCCAGTTTGTGGGGGCAATAAGCTGACTTTGTATAAAATATACAAAAATATGAAGGCTATTGCTTAACGCATTGTAAGCCGCCCTGAGTCTCCGGAGAAGGGCGGCATATAAATCAAATTAAAAAAAAAAAAAAGAGAAGACTCTGTCCTTGCAGGGAAAAAAGCTAGGAAGAAAAACAAATCTAAGAATGAGAAGCATTACAGGGCTAGATCAAGCCATTCTCAAAGGTCCAAACTCCGGACCTAACCCACAGTGAGGACACCATTCGCTTTGAGTTCTCAGTGGTTTCTTAAGCCGGCTCTCGGCACACAGTGAGTTTCGAAAAATGTAGGACTAATGTTTGTGCTGGGAGCCTCCGCCTCCCAGAGCCTTTTGAATGCGGGAGCCGTGCCCTTTCGCCTCCGGAGCAGCCAGCAGGCCCTATCAGCTGATCATCGGGCTGCCAGCAGAGTCGATCAACAGCCCGTTTGGCTGGCTTGCAGGCAATTACGATCCAGGCCGAATGCAAGCCGGTTGATGATCAGCTGTTCGTCAGCATCACGTTGCTTGCCGCTGCGCCAGTTGTCTCTTTGCGGCCGGGACACCACTTGCAGCTTTGGTGCTTGACAGCCGTATTGTGTGAATTGCCTTCTCCCTTAATACGATCTACTGGCCATTTGTTCTCCACCTTCCCCAGAGTGCAATTTAGCAGCTCTGACAACTGGAGAGCTGCCATAGTAGCACTGAGAGTAAAGGTTCTGGATCAAGCTGGCTGAAAACTCAAAGACCTCTGGGACCATAGCTCAGATTCACAAATCCTTTTTCCCCCCCTCCCCTTGGGGTGTTTATTCAGTTTAACCTTTAAATTGTGAGCAAAGGAAAATGGAACATTAGCCAGGAGCTTTTTAATTGGTTAGGTTGGTGCCGTGCTACCATGGAAGGGGCTCTATTACCAATTATGATTGATGAGCAGGATTGTAACATTGTGCAAGCATGCAGAGACAATGAAGAAATTGGTTCTTGGAGATTGGCTGAGGTCAGGGAGGGTGGGTTTTAATTTAAAAACTTCTCCCAATTTTCTAGATAGCAAAGATCAGCGAAATGCTCATTTCTTTAAAAAAAAAAAAACACCAACCCGCCAGTGGAAAAGAATGGATGCTCACTCTGTATGGATAAAATAATAGTAGGAGTACCAAAGGTGTTTTTTGAAAAGGCAACTGGACTTTGTTTTTCCTTGAAGACATTTTGCTTCTCATCCAAGAAGCTTCTTCAGTTCTGAACGGAAGAAATTCAGAACCGAAGAGGCTTCTTGGAGGAGAAGCGAAACATCTCCAATGAAAAACAAAGTCCAGTTGCCTTTTCAAAAAAACACCTTTGGGACAACTGGATGACTGAGAACCTCCGTAGACAATAATAGTAGTTGTTACTCTGCAAAATAAGATGACTTTGATCAAGATTGTGGCCACAGAGAAATGGTGGACACTCCCATCCTTTGGCTGACTTCTTTCCTTCAGTCTCCTTTTGCTGAAGAATGTTTGCAAAATTGCTTCTCTTATTTGTAATTTAATAT